AAGGGAGTCCCAAGCTCCGCATCTTCTGTGGGGTGCTGGGAGGTGTGCAAGCTTCTTGGGCAGATTTAAAGAGAATCTGCTGCCGGGCATTGGTGGCCCACACCTTTAACCCCAGCACTTGGGAGGCAGAGGCCCGAGGATCTCTGTGAAATCTAGGCCAGCCTAGTCTACAGAGTGAGTTCCAGAACAACTTCCAAAGCAATACAGAGAAACCCTGTCTTGAAAAACCAAAAATAAATAAATAAATAAATAAATAAATAAATAAATAAATAAAAATCTTAAGGAAGTGAATCTGCACAAATGAATGTGTAAAAGACCGCTCAGAGCTGACCTTTTGGTATTGGGTAACCACCTGGTGTGCTCTTCCCCTGGGAAGACTATGCCTTCCTCTCAACATTCCTTGGTTTCTTGTAGTTCTTAGTGTATGGTTGGGTCCTCCTCGGCTTTGCCCCATCCACTTTAGCATGTTTATTGTTATTGTTGTCCTTGTTCAGCTTATATTTAGTCTCAGTGTTGGTGAGACTTTATGGGTGTAGCTTCTAACATTGCAGTCTCCCTGCAGACTCCCAGATCCGCTCTGGCTCTGACAGTCTTTCCATCCCCTCTTCTGCAATGATCCCCGAGCCTTCAGTGAATGAGATGTATTTATTTGTAGCATTGGGACTGTGCTCCACAACTCTGCATTTGATTGATTGTAGTTTTCTGTAGCGATCTGTTTGTTGCAGAGAGAAGTGTATGTAATGGTGGGTAAGAACTACACTTATCTGTAGGTAGAAGGACAGGTATTTAGGATGTAGTTAGGGATTATGCTGTCTTAGTAACGTTGTGGTTGTAGATGACCCCCTCAAGATAGCCCTGGGTAGTTGCCTAGGTTTCCAATAGCAGGCATGATTTTCTTCTTCTTGAGTGGGTCTAAGTCCAAATAGGGAGCTGTTGCTTACTACTTACTAAGGCACCATTGGGATTATTGTGGCACGCTGGTCATTGCTGTGGTTCCCAATGTTAAGCCCTGAAAACATACGTGTCGCTAAGGTTATACAGATTGAGCATGTTATATTTATATATTTAGGAATGTGTGTGTGTGAAACAATTAATGAAAAGAGAGACTATGGATTTGAAAGAGAGCAAGGAGAAGTATCTGAGAAGGTTTGGCATGAGGAAAGGAAGGGGGAAATGATATAATCTTATTATAACTTCAAAAAAATAAAAGAAAAAGTTCAAAACGACCTCTCAACTCTTGTGACATATTAAAGACAGCAGGGGCTTGATATACTATAAACTTGTTTACTTACATGTAATTCTCAAATTCTGATAGCAAAACCTCAGTTTTCTTTTTCATATTTTATTCACAAAAGATTGTTGTTGGTTTTTTTTTTTTTTTTTTTTTTTTTTTTTTTTTTTTTTTGCTTTTAGGCAATATTCTTTTGCTAACTTCTAAAAGTCTTGGCATTGAAACTTATTAGTTCATGCAAATGAAAATCTGGCCCAGAGACAAGGCACACACTTTCCCTAGTACACAGATGCCTGTCCTTGCCTGTCATCCACTTAACCCATGCTACCCCTTCTGAAAAGCCTTTTACTGAAAACAAAATTCATTTTAATTCTCCTTTTCCTTTGTGAATATTGTGCTCACTTTGCATTTCCTGAACAGAGGCTCCAAAAATGTCTACAGAAGAAATGGAGTCCAGGACCTGATCAATAAGTCTTTCATTAGAGAATAGTCCTGTGTGGTTTGTCTGTCCTGTTAGCTTTCATGTGAAAGCCAACTGTTTATGAATCTCCATGAAACAGAGAACTACACAAGGATGAGGGTGTCGTCCAGGAGAGGGTTTGCTGATCTGGCTTTCTGGAAACATTGACCAGACCACCAGGGCAGTAGTCATTCTTCAGCAAGTCTTAGACCCTGCTGAACTTTTGTTCATAGAACTTCCTGATGCCCATATGTGATGCAAAGACTGTCCATGTCACAATTTTAGTTGAAAGGACTTATTTTCAATTGTTAAAGTTTAGTATGTTGACCTCCTTTGTCCTTCATGCAAAATTCAACCAGTGTGAGAACAAAGAGGAGCATCATCTCCAGATGGTTGGCGCGCTCTCTCTCTCTCTCTATCTCTATCTCTGTGTGTGTGAGTGTATTGTGTAAGTGTCTGTGTGTTTCTGTGTCTGTGTGTCAATGTGTGAATGTCTATGCATGTGTGTGTATGTGTGTGTGTGTGAGAGAGAGAGAGAGAGAGGGAGAGAGAGAGAGAGAGAGAGAGAGAGAGAGAGAGAGAGAGAGAGAGAGAGATGCCTGAAAATGTGGACAAGTGCCTTTCAGAGAGACACTGTTACTGGAGTTCTTTACACAGCGCTCTGTTTCTTTCTTCCCTTTGGCCCCCTTATCCATCTCTCTCTCTCTCTTCACATAGCCCATCAATTGTGTAACCTTGTTTGTAGGTCTGTGGTGGTTGAATGAGAATGTTCCCCATGGGTTCATATGTTTGAATGCTTGATCCCCAGTTAGGTGAACTGTTTGGGAAGGATTAGGAGATGGGGCCTTGTTGGAGCAGGTGTGTACTGGGGATGGACTTTGAAGTTTCCAAAGCCCATAACATTCACAGTTAGTTCCCTCTGTCTCGTGCTCGTGGATAAAAGTGTGAGCTCTCAGTTCCTGTCCCAGCACCGTGCCTTCCTGCCTACTCCCATAATCCCTGTGGTGATGGGTGCACACTCTCACCTCTGAAACTAAAAGCCCCCCAAAAGCACTCTCTTCTAGCTCCTTAATCTCAGTGCTTTATCGCAGCAATAGAAAAGTAACCAAGACAAGATCTATGCTAGTATTTATTAGTGTTTCAAAGTTAACCAACTGTAATTATAAAGACTTTTATCATCTCACATGCTGATTTAATGTCCCAGTGAGGACATAATCTATGTATTTGATACTGACTCACTAGATCAGGTAATGTTAATAAAACACTCACTGTGTGTGGCACCCTTGGCCAGAGCAGCCCTGGAGCCCTTCACCAATAAATCCCTGCCCCAGTAGCCCCAGCTCTGTATTGTCTTCTACCTAGTAGTGCCTGTTAATCTTCAGAGAGAACGGTGTATGACTTCCTTGTCTCTGTTGTACCTACCGTTCCACCATCTTTTTCCAGCCTTGCACCTCACACTTCTAAGCACTTGTCCATGCTTGCTCAGGACCATGTAAATGGCAGCATCTGGCTCTGACTCAAAAACTGTGTTGTCTCCAAGCCCACTGCATCCCTGAACCAATCCGGTTTTCTGTGGTTACTTATTTGCTCTTATTTATTTATTGAATGCCATGGCGTATTCTCCACACAGATGAGCAGAGGTTATCATTCTCTGATTTATAAATGAGGAAACGAAGCCCCGAGAGGCTCCTTCCTGATCAAGTTTGCATGGTGAGAGGGGAGCAGCATCCAGAAGATCATTTTGACCAGAAGAAACTGTAAATTGCAGTGATTACAACTGAGGCGTACTCAGAGAACTTGAACATGTTAAACTGTGACTCTTGAGTTCTTGAAATGTGCTGATGCTGGGACAGAGGGCATGAGGGAGATGCCAGAACTCTCATAACTGGAATGATATGTGGTGACAGTGGAGCAAAGGACAGTCACTCATGAAGGAGTCGTGAGGGGCACTGGAGCTCTTTATTCGGTTCCATCAAGATGGCACCACACTGTGTGATTCTTCACCTATTTACTGAGTTTGAGCTTGAGAAAATATAGGAGACTAGATTTGTCACAGTCAGCTGCATTTGTTAGAACACAGAGATGTGCCTTGGGTGGTTCTTTAACTGACTTTGCTTTTATGAGATGAAACCCCGGGCTGGTGATAATGGGGGAAACATCCAGGGTTCCATTCCGTGCAGTGTAGTATTGTCTGCACTTGAGACTTTTGAGTGCTTTGGAAATAATGTCTGTTTTCACCATTTTCTGTTCTCTACTAGGTTCTTGGAACACCAAATGAGGACACTTGGCCAGGAGTTCATTCTTTACCACATTTTAAGCCAGGTATGTTTCATTAATTGCAAATGCTAAGTGCTTCCTGTATGTGAAAGGTGACTATATAAATGTCCATGTTCATGCAACATAGGGCCTTGAAATGCCTTTGCCATCATGTATTTTATGTGTTAATGCAGCTGTTCTTGTATTTGCATAATTCATCTTTTTGAAATAAAGTTTGCTGCCCTTCCACCATGAGAGAGTTCCACTATACGACCTATGTTTGATTTGCCTAATGATCTTGTAGTAACTGTTAATTTCATTTTCATATCCCTGCCTATGAAAGCAAAATTTAGCTGGTGAGATGGCAATGCAATGGGAAAGCATTTACTGCATTAGCAGAAGAACCTGCATACCAATTGCAGCATCCAGGAAAAAAGCTGGGCATGGTGACTGGTGCCTGTAATTCCAGTCCTGGGCAAATAGAGAAAGGCAGATTCTGGAGAACACCCTGACAATTAAGTCTGGATGAATCTCTGAGATCCAGGTTCAGTGAGAGGCCCTGTCTCAAACTAAGGTGGAGAGACATTGAAGAAGAGACACAAAATCAACACACACGCGCGCGCACACACACACACACACACACACACACACACACACACACACACACACACACACAGAGGGGGGCGCAAAATTTACGTTGGAACAACACAACTCATACGTATCACTACTTTTGAATAATACTAAGAAATTGTAGTAAATTATATATAAAAAGGTTTTCCTTTCCTGACTTATTCTAGGAATATATGGTCCGATAATTTGAGCTTAACTGTATAAATTTTCCTGATTCTTCAATTGTGTAGCATTTGATATTTCAATGGAAATTATTCAGGCGTCTAAACTGGAGGCCTTTGAGCATGCAGTATTTCAATACTCACCAGTAGATGGCAGTCATGAAACTTTCAGTCTTAAGAGTTGCAAGAAAATCTGACATGATGTGCTTAATTTTTATTGAAGGAATGAAAGAACTACAGTTGGAAAGTGAATAAAGTGAGGAAAATGAATTATTGTAAAGTGATTCTCTTGGGGTTTTTTTTGTGGGGTGGCTATAAAACGTGCTCCATGAAATGTAGGTCCCATATCTAGTTTCTGAAGGAATCCCACAGAGGACCTGATGGTCGCTGTCCTCTCTGAGTAATTTTACTGAGGGGAGCCAACCGTCTTCTGCTTCTCCTCCTCCCCTCTTTGGAGACTCCAGAAATAAATTACCAATTTCAAAGAATTACTGAGTTGTGCAGCTATTTTTATTCTTCATATTTTTCTTCTGAAAGTGTATAGTGTGCTGAGAATTCTTTTATCTTATTCAGAAGCTTCAAAGGCCTTTTGTACTTTTACTGAAAATTATAAATGAGTTCCATGTCCAGAAAAATTTCTAGAAATACAGCAGTTTATTAGAATAGATAGTTTTTTATTAATTAAGCCAGAAGCATCTTGTAACCAGTGTACTTATTCCTACTGGAGTTTAAGTCAAGAAAACAACATTTTATACGTGTTATGGGCTCTTAGAGTTAGCAATCTTGTCAGGATATACAATTTTAAGACCCAAGAAATAAAATAGATGACCCTGGGAGGCTAGAGTTTAGCTCACTGGCAGAACCCTGTCCTAGCATTTACCAAAACAAAAAACAAGATTATAAATAAATAAAGTTATATACATGAAAGACTAATTAATAAAGCAATTTCACCTGCCAAGTGTCTAGACTAGAAAATATGGAGTAATTTGTCTATTTTTGATGTGAATAGAGCTTATTTTTGTCATGAATACATGCAAGTTCTTTAGAGTTTCTAGAAATTATAAGATGTACAACAAGTTAAAAGGGCAGATTGTGAACTTTAGGAAACCTATGCACAGTACATATCTGGCATTCAAAACTTAGCTGTTGCTCTGTGTTATATTGAATATTTAAAAACAGCCTTACTAGTGAGACTCCTCTGATAGAAATATATAAGCTAGATAGAATAGATATATTAAATATTGTGTGAGAGCTGCAACAGACATGTAGTCAGTGTATTGGGAGTCCAGAAGAACAATGTGTCTACATGATATAAGGCTGGACTAGGAGAGAGAGATTATAAACTGAGGGGAGACACTGTGTCTCCACATAGTGCCCAGCCTGGCCATCAGGGACTCTTAGTTTCTGACATCATAGCTCTTATACTCCAAGGGAAGAAAACACATATCCCAAAGGACACTAGCAGTCTAGGGTCACCTGTCCTGCTCTATGTCTCATCTCCTGATTCTATCCCCCAAAGAGGGCTATGGAGGTTCTAAACAGGGAGAAGGAAAGTTACAAGGACATTCTTTCTTTAATTAAAAAAAAAAAAACAGTGTGTGTGTGTGTGTGTGTGTGTGTGTGTGTGTGTGGTGTGTGCATGCCATGGTGCATATGCGGAGATCAGAGGGTAATTTGCAGATAGTTGCTCTCTCCTTCCACTGTGTGGGTTGCAGAGGTTGACCTCAGATCATCAGTCTTCGTCACAAATGCTTTTACACACTGAGTCATCTCCTTGGCTCTTTTCTTGAAGCATTTTGGAAATGAAACAATACAATATGCAAAGCTTTCTCCTTGCTTCAACTCCCATCTGCCGGCTTTCCCAGACTACTGCCCTCCCTGACACCAGGATCCCTCTCTAAGCTTTCTTTCCTTTTTCTTTTTCTTTTCTTTATGCAAATGTAACAAATTATAAGTATATACATATATGTATATATATATATATATATTGTATTTTTTCATACACAAACTACAGTTGTATCTTGTTTTCCTCCCTAGTGTATCCTCTAGGTTTTTACATGTCACATATGTCACTGCACATAAGTCAGTGTGGCTTCCCTCTTGTCCCCAAGTGCAACATTGTTTTCTGTTGAGCAGATCTAACCTGCTGTCTAACTGTGGGCCTTTGGGCTTCTTCAGTATGTCTCTATTAAAAGTGTTAATGCAGTGACAGCTTTATCTGAACAGTAAATTGGGAGAAACAAGTTAAAGAGCCAACAAGTATAAACAGTTTTTAACACTTGTATCAGTCTGAAGCAGTGGTCTCTCGTCTGTGTGTTGGCAATGCATGCCAGGCTTCCCTAAGTCTTCTCTGCTCTGGAGTGTGTGGCCAGACTCAACCAGTCAGCTGCCGAAAGGGATCTCAAGTTAATGCTGGTTTGAATGCTTCGTCTAATGTGAGGCTGAGCATCTGCTCACCTGATTCAGCTTTTCCTTACTGTGAACTATTTATGACTTTTGCTCAATTTATAGTTGAAAATTGTGAGTCATCTCTCTTAATTTCTAGGAGTTTTTATAATTTGGAGTAATTTCTCTTTTATCCACAAAAGCCTTTGTTTCTCTGGATTTAACTGCATAAGAATATTTTTTTCCAATTTTTATTAACTTCATTACCAAAAATGTTGCACAAAAAATACCATCCTCTGAAATTAACCAGGCATGAGGACTGTTAATTGAGGATACTGAGGACAATTCAGCAAATATGGTTGACTATATAGACTAGCTAATCAGGGTAGATGCTGCAAAGGTTCTTGACATTGGATTTGTACTTTCACTATCAAAACATTTTTATGCATTTGTCTACTACCAAAACCAAAAATCCCATGACAGAGTTAGAACTATAAAGACAATGACCTCATATCCCCTTTCATAACTCCTGCTTATTAACTGTATTTAGTCTTTCCTCACCCCCTAATATTTAGCCTTTCTTGTCCTCTTTTCCAAATGTTGTACTCTATACACACAGAGACATGATATGTGTTATCTAGATAAATATTATACTTTGTAAGTACACTAATTTTCCTGAAATTTTTGAGTACATTTTTCTTTAGCACTAAATAATATTCATTCACACACACACACATATACATGTGTGCATATATGTATATATTAGATAAACAGACAGACAGACAGATGTTTCATTAGCCATTCATCTGTTGACTGACAACTAGGCTGATTCCAATGATTTTCTGTAGTGAATACAGCAGCAGTAAACGTGGGTGCAAGTTTCTCTACAGAATATGTAGTTCTCTGTGTATATATGCAGATGTGAAATAGTGGGGTAGTTCTATCTTTGATTTTTCTGAGAACTCTCCAAACTGACTTCCCCAATGGCTGTATAACCTAGCATCTCCATCTTGAGTGAATAAGGATCCTGAAGTGTCCACTGGCACCTCAGAAATTCTACTCCCATAGTGACTTCTGAGACCACTCAGAAACTCTACTCCTATAATGATGTCAGAGACCACTAGAACCAATGCCCCAAACTCTCACAGGACACTGAGCACACTGGAGCTGAAGCACGGGCCTGGTGCTGACATCTGAGGCCACTGGACTAGAGTCCTGGTCACAGAGTGCTCTGGGTCCTGCAGAAGCCAGAGGCCCTCTAAAATTCTAAGCAAGGTTGAACAAAGTCCTTACTATTAGGTAGTGTCTTTTCTGACTTGTTTTAACAATAACGTTTGTCTCAAGAAAAAAATCCCATGACATTTGCAGAGTAGTACAGGCATGATTTTTAATAGCAAATCCTGTTACACACACACACACACACACACACACACACACACACACACACACACACACCTAGCATCTGTATTCATATAAGGGCACTTTTGATTTTCAAATTGTTTATTTTACTGTTGTGTTGTAGGCCATACATAAATCTAAACAGATACATCTCTATATTTTTAAAATGTGTACAAAAACACTGAGCTAATTCTGTACAAAATGGCTTCCTACTCAAATAGCATGGAAACCCCATGTGTGGCACTTCCCTCCAGCTCTTAAGCTCTTTCAACAAAGGGGCATTCAGCAGTGGCTTAATGATGGATTATTATTCAGAAGTTCAGACAGGAAGACACTGTAAAGTTCAAGGAGGAAACAACACCGCCAGACTGGAAGCAATGAGAAGTAATGAAATTTCAAATAAAACAGTCCTATTTTTCCAAAATCAAGCTAGGGGCGGGGCACATCCAAAGTGGTTACATTGTTTCTCAGGAAAGTCAGTCATCCAATGCA